CCGAAGCACACGCTGCATTGGCGAAAGTGAAGTTGTTCTTTTATGCGCTTAATATTAGTGAACGTGACGAGGAAAACATTTTGAACGTGGAAAGTGCTCTGTTTGGTCTAAAACGTAAAGTTTCGACAAACCAGTTGTCCATTAAAGACTTTTTTGGTAAAAAGAAGTAACTTTGAAAGAGAAACATTGTTTTTTTTTTTAAATTTTTAATGCTTTCCCGCATCTATCGTTTTCCCGCATTCATCGTTTTTATTTCCCACCCCCGCCGAAAACGATGCATCGAGGTTTCACTGTATATGAGTATCACAGGTGCATTACAGATGGATCTGTATTGAACAAGCTACTGATTTCATAAAACCACATCAGATACATATATTTTTTGTCTACATAACAAACATGTACTGGGATTTTAAACTTTTGTAGCTCTGAATGTATGTGAATTCATGTTCTTAATTTTGTGTGTAAGTTCTGAAACAGAGTTTTCCAAAAGAAAGTGAAAATATGTTTTTCATCATAATGGGGGTCACTTGTTAATGTAAAAATGCAAGAATCAAAGTGAAATAGTGTTTAGTGTTTTTAATATGGTATATCTTTTGAATATGATACTTAAAAGCTGTTAATCAAATCTTCGAGCTGAAGGGTTATATATGGTAGGAAGGCATAAATTAACCCTTTGAGGAATGAGCATTCTCTAAATTTACCTAAATTAGGACATACTCAGACATTTACTTAGTTTCAGGCCTCTTGCATGTTTTTATCTTTGGGTATTTGGTGGTACAAATTTGAGATTAGATTACGTTTGAATTATATGATTATGAAATAAATTTAAAACATCCATTGGTATTTGCAGTAGCCATGATGCTGTGAAGGAAACTGAAAAAGTATGCAAAATTATTACCAAACTGGGGTTGTGTGATAAAAGAATAACGATTGTGATAAATTAGATAATATGTGGCAGACTGAATTTTGGTATGATTATTTTATTGAAACTGTAAAAATGTGGAACAAACAAACCTCAGTTCCTATGGTCCAGCAGATGGCAAGATCCTTAAGAATTGAAGGGTTAAACATTACCACATCGCAAAACTTCTGTTGCCTTCCTTTTGTCAATATTGTAATACATTTGCAATCTAAGTTGGTTTTCATCAGAAAATAATGAGTAATATTAATATGATTTGTGCATTTATAGGACCTTTACTCACTTTGTACATGAAAATAACACTGAAAACATAGCAGTGCCAGTTTTTAGAACCTTGCTGAAAGAAAGCATTTTATAACAGATGAATGGAAAGATGTGTGCTCATGTGGTCATTCTCCATAGTCAGATAAAATATTTCTGTAATGTCTCAAAAATGGCTCATTGTACAATATGTATATTTGTGTGTGTGTGTGTGAGTGATAAAATTATCTCATTTAGGTCTGCATTGTTTATCTGAAGTATTTTTGAGAAGTAAAGTTTGGGTTCTAGGTGGCTAATAATACCCAAATTAATATTTTTATTTTTGTGCTTTAGTAAGGGTCTTCCAAACAGAATCCCATTAAATCTAATAACAGGTTCAGAACTTGGAAGAAAGACATTAGCCTATAAAGGAATTTTTTATTTCATATAAAGATTGCTTGAAAATGAAAAACATGCATTTCCACACAAATGAGTTTCATCATATATATATGAGTAATTTGTCTAAAAATTTAAAATTCTTTTAATGAGTATGAAGTAATCAACTGGATTGAATAATGGTAGTACAGGCAGTACCACATCATGGGATGTTGCATCGTGTTGTCTGGTAGAAATTTACTGACATTCAGAGGTGCTTCCTTGTCTGACTGGTTATTACATCAAAAATCAATTTCTCACATGCGGCTTATTCATTTACCTGATTATGGAGACAGTAAGCAATTTGAAACATTTGTAAACTTCTACCAGACTACATGTTGCAATACCCCAAAAGAGTCATCTTGGTACAAATGCCATTTGGTGGGGATCTTATTTTTGAAGAACTGAACGTGGAACATGTTTTACATTGACAGAAGGTGATTTGTATGAACATTATGGGTGCTATTGTGATAACTGTGATATAAAATGAAAGGTTGTCTTTGTTAACAGAAGTAGATTTTGGTAAAATTGTTAGCTGTAAGTCTAGTGTAGTGTATAGGTGTGTGTGTGGTGCGCATGTACGCATGAAATGTTATAAGTGAATGACATCTCTTTTTATATAGGCCATTAAATTTAGAAAGTTTTGTTGTGTATGTAAACACTATGCAATAGTCCAAAGTATTTATTATATTTATTTAGTAATTTCTGACTCATATTGCATATTTGAAGACCATTATTTACCTGCATAAAGGTTGGTATGGATTATGATGTGCAATTCAACTGCAATTATGAAGTGAGATGTGTGGTCTGCAGATAATAGAAACTAAATAAAAATGGGAATTCCATAAGCATTAAGACCAATAGATAACTTAAAAATATTTCCTTGTATTGACATTCTAAAATGAATTAATAGACATTGAATTATTCCACTGTATGAGATTTGAGGTTTCACAGGAGTGCAGATGTCACTGTTAGTATTCTGGGTTGTAATGCCATATGAACTTCCTGCTAGGTACCAGTATTTCAGAGACACATATTGCCTCCATCCACAGGGCAGTATGTTTCTCTGAAATCTTAATATCTATCCAAAAGTTCACATGGTATTAAAACCTAGAAAACCAACACCAACAAATTATTCCAACATTTTAAATACAAAGAGTTACATGGCAGTTTTCCACATGAAGCAGTTAAAATATCAGTACAGCTGGATTCTTTTATAGTTGTCTCTTCTTGTGCTAGCTGCACAAAACTGAACATAATTTTGAAGGTATTAAGAGCAAAAGTGCTATCTGTACTATAGTAAGGAAGCTGGTTGTTTGTCTCAAGGTTGGGAAGTATGGGATGCAGAGTGTGTAGAATTTTATAATGCCCTGGTCAGTTAGTTTCTCCATTCACCTGTGATTTGAGGGAGACCTGTATGTTCTCTAAGCTGTGTTACAAAGCACAGTATGGTGCAGAATAAAACATACCAAATTGGTGTCTTTGTGGCTAAATCCACCATTTAAGGCAAACCTTGTGCAGCAGTAATTCTCCTAAGTTATATTTCAGAAGGTATCTGATTAAAATCTCTGGTCAGGTTTCTGGTTGTCAACATAGGACCTACTTGTCTATGTGAATGTTGGTATAGTACTTCAAAATGGGCCATGTGATCACTTCTTTCAATTACAGTAACTCAAAACCATATAATCTTTGCAGTTGAAACAACAGTGCCAAGTAAACCAAGAATTAGTTACCATAAGAAGACACTCTAGGATAAAGTAAATTGTCTCTGCCTATCACAGTATAAAGGTATACAGCACGTGGAGACAAAACTACATACTTTTAGACACTGGTTGTGACAGTATGAAAGTGTATGTAACTGCTGCAGGTTACTCACATTGCAACTATTAGATCCTCATTGGTATGATAAGGAAAATCACATTATGAGAAGCTTCATAAATATTTTTCACATAATACTGTTGGGGTCATTAAATGGTGGTGGACAGAACATGTAGCATAAGTGATATGTTTGAAAGTGGTAAAAGAATCTCAAAGGATAAATATGAGGGAGGCCTATTGGCAGTTACTGTAAGAGGCAGTGAGCATCTTTGAAATGATGATGTTGGTAAACTTCTACCTGACTTGACAGCACATCCCAGAAGACTTATCTTCATATTTGTCACATTGAGAACCTGAAAGATTTTTTAATTGACTGTCTGGAACACTGCAGAATTCAACATGAATAGAGAAATTGTGAGATTGAATTTGGTTAGGCATTTGAATACAGAGAAAGTGTATGCTTAAGTAGTACCAACAAAACTTTTGGCAGAACCTGACCTTTTGGAAAAATAAGGCTATTCAGGAGACTTCTTCCAGTATGACTCAGAAACTAAATGCCATTCTTCAAAGGGAGAATGCAGTGCTCCCAAGACCAAAGATCATGAATTCTAAAACCAAACAGGTCAAAACTATTTTGATTGTTTTTCTTTAAGCCAAAGGTATTACCTCTACAAATTTCCATCCTCCCAAACAAAGTAAAAATCTACTTTCATGATTTGAATTGTTGAATGTTACAGCACACTGGAGACAAAATCTTTGGCCAGACAATGATATTTGCATCATGACCATTTGCTTTGACAAAGTTACTTTTGGCTAAACAAGTAATTGTGTTGGTACATCCACCACACTGCCTAATTTGTACATGACTTTTGTGCTTCAAAAAATAAAAATATTGGAGACAGTTTCATTTTCCATAACTTGAAATTTGGGTAGTGTGATGACACCACTGTCTGGTAATTATTTAGTTTTTTCTTTTTTCAGGAATGACAAAAACATTAGAACTCTAGTCAGACACTCCCCGAATCATTTCGGTTGCCAGCCCTCGTAACTGGGTATAAAGTGAGGGAAATGAGGATCTATAATTAAAAGTCTTACCAGAACTTACATCGTAATTAAATGAAATTGGCTGCACAATAAATGGGTACATTGTTTCGTTCAGAAAATACAATGGTAAGAGGCCGTTTTTAAATACTGTCTAGTTTGGATCAAAATGATTATACATAACATCCAATGGTGGGTGGTTTGTTACAGTTGTGAACTAGCGTGTGTGATGTTTGAATGTGGATTACACAACAAAATACACCATTTGCAGTCATTTACACTTAACAGAACATTGCGTTTGTCAACAACGCTAATATCCAGGTTCATCAATATGGTTAGAATTCGGCTAGGAAACATTTCCCAATAGCACGCTTAAATAAAATGTCATAGCATAGTGATTTTCGTATCGTAATGTTGGCCGTAGTTGGCTCGATGAACGAGCAAGCGTTAATGATCTCTCTCCCTGTTCGTGGATGTGCGAAGAGGAAGTGAAATCAATAAGAAATTCTTTTCATAAATACAGTGCATATTTGTACGTCTCATTTTCATATAAATTGTTGAATTAATGTTTACCAACCTTTACAGTTCTATTTGAGGTTTTTAGATATCAATTAGCTTAGAAATTTCGTGTGTAATGTCGTACAGCACGAGAAGACAGACCGGTCAAGGAATGGGTAAGTCAGAATGGGAATCATGGACGTTGATTAATGTTTGAGATGAATTTAAATTATATTTCGAAGGCATATAATCAACGTGACTTGTTGAAAATTACGTGTAGTGAATGCCGTAACATTAATCAAAAAGTCGAAGTGTGCTGCTCCATTTTGTAATATTTTGAGGTGTATTAACGATGGAGCCTGTACAGTGGCGCCTGAAAAGTTATTTTTAATTTTTATTAATTGTTTGTTTGACAACGTCAGAAGCTAAGACTGCATATGGTCGAATGATAGTGATGATAATGAACTGAGGATGCGGAAGAAAACGGGGCGTGGTCTAGTTAAAAGTAATAACCTGGCATTTGCCTGGAGAGGCTGAGGAAAACCACGATAAAACTCAGTCATTGCGTGGTTTGCATGCATTGATGTGTTAGCCCATATTATGTTAGTACCGTATCATGATTCTGAAAATACCTCATGTTCATTGTTGTAATGATTAGGGTTTGAAATTTGTATTGTGTAAAAATGTAGCACAGTATGAATTGAATGTGAAACAAGGTTATTTGCATAAGTACATGCAGGGGGTTATTAACAGTGTCTGATATTTTTTGAAGACCACGGTTTGGTGTAAAAGATTTTCCTCACATTCTGATGTAACTAGTGGATTTATTTGTAACGTTTCACTACTTCAGATGAGCACTGTTTGTTTTATGCAAAATCTTTATAATGGGTTTTATTGTACTTGTATATATGTATTGAATCATACTGTCATCTGACTAACTTATGGATCCATGAAATATAATAAATATGTATGAACTAGCCACAACTTGGAAATTACTATCACTGGCATTGGGAATGTTTGGTTATTATTGTTCAAGAATTGAAGGAGGTACGTAATGTAGGGTGACCAGATTACCCATTTTATGTAGAATTATGCCATTTTGTTTTAAATAATTTTTGTTTTTTGCCACACATTAATGGCAGTATATTACACGTATGTTTTAAGGATTTTGTTTCTTATTTTAAATATTTATATGCCCCATTTTGTTGGTTGGGAATATTGAAATTGATGCATGTACAGTGTCCTGCTACATTTATAGTGGTTGGTGCCCTATTGTGTTCTTGATTTCACAGTAAGGATGGGGTAGTGTCAGAAAATAATTGCTAGGGTTAAATTTATGGAATATTTATGATAAAGTTTGAAATCTGTTGCAGGTTAGGGGATAAGTGTGTTAGAACATGATACTGTGTATGTTTTCACCTCTGTTTAAAGAGTAATTGCAGTTGTGGGTGTAGTCATGGCATCTTGCCAGCTACTGGTGGCCCATGTCCCAAGTGTTTGTTTTGCTGTTACTATGGGTAACAGCATGATTGCCCATAAATACAGTTCACATGGACAGGTATATGGTGTAAACCTAACTTTTTGACGTAAATACGTCTATACGGAAGGGTCATTCGGCAAAAAAGTGAAAGGAAAACGTGTAAGATCCATATCAATGTGTAAATATAGACTGAAAACAATGGTCAGCTTGCGTGCATTGTTTTGTTACCTAGGAAACATCATCTGTTTACTTGGCATTGTTGTGTTATATTACTGCCGTCAACAATCCGCTTTCATTATTGCGGAAAGAGCTGAGCTGTGAATCGCTTGTAGACTAGATAATTTTTTGCTGGTGGTATCATAATATCACAAGTACTTATCTTATATGAGAATTATTACATTACATTGCATTTCATTCATTTCATTACATTACAGAGACGTATTTACGTCAGATTCTCCGGAACCATGGTTCCACTGTCAAATTTTTAACCAGTTTTTTACATTATAATCAATTATGAGACTTATATGTTGGCATTTTTATAGCAAGAAATATTAATTAAAGGTTTTTGAGGGGAAGTTATGAAGGGTGCAGAAATATGCATTGTTTTATTGTGAACATTTAAATGTAAATTAATGTACAAAAAGAATGGCGTTATTGGTATATGTGTTTGTTTGTGACTGCTGTCCTAATTTTGAATATTGGCACATTTAATGTATGGCTTGTGTGATACCACTTGCATCTTTGCATACTGAAATTCCTTTTGTTCGGTTATAACCCTGATGGTACCATAATTGAAATTTTGTTTTCTTACAATAGCCATTCCTGAATAAGTTTTTCATATGATTACTTTGCAATTGAGTGGATTATATTAGATTATACAAATTAATCTACCTGATCAGAACCTCATTGCCTGTTAATTAAATATTGATTTAAATTGCATAATTGGGGGTGTGGATAATTTGTAATAGGTGACATGAAGATTTACCTCTTTATATGTATAAAAGATTTCACTTTTATTTTAATTGATACAAAATGATTATTAGAATTAAACACTGAGTTGGAAAGTCTGGGCCAAGTTTTTTGTGTTAGCCGTATGATAGAGGAAGCATTGTTGAGAATAATCTTAGGATTGTATAAAGTGAAGCTTTCATGGCGATTGAAGTTCATGAAAGACTCTCAGGCTACAAGGCGTGTCAGGTGGCTGAATGGTGAATACACCATGTCCTCTGCCAACGTTTCAAGAGCTATCTCTGCTCTCTTCCTCAGGGCAGCTGCATAACAAATTGGTCCCCTATGACAAAACTGCTGTCTACCCGGAAGGCCAAGCCAGTAAGAGCGAGCTTATGACCTCGTCTGCCGGTTCCTATTGGTCAGCACGAAACAAAGCAACAGACGGGCCACCAGCAACACTGTGCTAGTACCTGCCACCCACTGCCAGTTCCCATTGGTGAGTGTGCTACAGAGGACCAGTTTGTTACGCAGCTGCTCTGAGGATGAGAGCAGAGATGGCTCTCGAAACGTTGGCAGAGGATATGGTGTATTCACTATTCAGCCACCTGACACGGCTTGTAGCCCAAGGGTCTTTCATCAATCTTAAGATAGTTTTCTAGGTTGAGAATGCAGGATTTTAAATTAAAGAACTCAATTGAGCAGATCTCTTCTTGAGGAGTGAATAGTATGATAAGCTAGTCGAGAAATTCCCCAAGTTTTATGAAACCTGAAAGTTCATTACCATGTTCACAAAAGCTGCGCACTGAACCAATCCAATTCATATTCTCCAACCCTGTTACCCTAAGGTCCATTTAAATATTATCTTTTCATCTGTACCGAGGTTTTCCAACTGGAATCATCCCTTCAGAATTTCCAAACAAAATTTTGTATGCATCTGTTATATATCATGTATATTTATATATATATGCTCATATGCATATGTGCTTCATATATGCTATGCCTGTCTCACCTGCCTTGATGTGAAGAGTACAAATTATGGAGCTCATTATGCAGTTTTCTCAAGCCTTCTGCCACATTATCCTTAGGTCCAGGCATGACCTGGAAGATTAACTTTAGCTTGATTACATGTCCACATACTGTCTCTGTGTTCTATAGTAATTATTAATGAACTATTGCAGATAGGCTTGTATAGTTTTGTGTGACGATGAATAAGTAAATGTGTACTATGACACATGACATTGTTGTGAGGGTAGATGTGGATGTAAGAGATTATGTGTGAGTGTATGAAGTGGATAGACTGGATGCGAATCTTAGAGAATGGTTATGAGGACAATTTTTGTATGTAAAGGTAGGATGACATGGTTGTGAAGGTGGGAGGTAGATGTGGCTTGGGTTTATGACCAGTGGTGAGCATTAGTTTTTTAAGTTTCTGAGTTTACTCCCAGAGAGTTGGTAAGGTCTCATTGATCATGGCAGGTGTTGGCCGGGGGTCTGCACAAGTGTTGTACCATCAGCAACAAAGAAGTGTCCCAGGGAGAATGCAGCAGTCTCCTGGGCCAAACCCGCCACAGCATGGCTACAACACGCAGCAGCCTATTCAGACAGTTAGTGTTGGATATTCCACCCAGCAGAACACACCTGCATACACAACCCAGTCCCAGCCCCAGCCCCAGACCCAGCAACCGTCATCTGGTGGCTCTACTCCACAGGGCTATTCTTCTCAGCAGGTATGTAGATGTGTTACTCATAATTACTTTAATGTAGTTGTTGTTTTATTACAGTTGCCAGAAGTGGTGCAGAACTGTGACTGGTGAAATTGTGTTCCTGAGAATAGTTAAGTGGTGTGCTTCAAATTGGAATTTTTGCACTTTGGCATCTCTCATAGGTCTTGGTGTTCATTTATTGCATATGCAAACTATTTGTGGTGGTGGTAGTGGTGGTACATAACAAGTGTTGCTGTTCACTGATGGCACTCCTTTGTGTTTGAGAGAGCTCAGATTTCAATTTTGGCCAGATGCCTACTCTGCTCCATGGAGTTACTGCTTTTAGAACCTGGGATTATTGATACAAACATTCAAAATACATATAAATATCCACTACTATTCCTCTTCCCATTGGAATACCCAGGCAAGCTTTTTATTGATGTTATTGAATGTTTGTAACCTTTCAGGTGAAAGTTATGAACTGGACAGAATTAGCCATACAATTTTAAGTACATTTTGTGTATGATGCAGGATTGTGAACAGATATAGTTATATTTCAGTTTTAGTCTGCATAGGTCCCCATTTAGTTTGTTATTATAGGCTGGCATCATGCATTGTGGTTGAGTGTAGAATCATTAAATAACCCAAGAATTGTTCACTCAGTCTAGGGTGGGCAGCCAGTGATTCTTCAACAGCCAAAGACTATTCTGGAAGTGGTACTGCCATTTTTTGTTATGGTTGGGTGTGGGTTTCAGGTGATGATTTGTTATGGTTATCTTTCCTTGTCCCTGCCAACCTTTTGCAAATCCAGAATCTATTTATGAATTTTCTATGAGAGCACTCTTAGGATGGATTGCAGTACTCCTATGGTGGTGTGATCATTATGATGTTTGCAAAGGGGGCCTACTGTTTAATGTGACCTCTGAACCATGGTGGGGGCACTGTATTTTTTACTTTTCCATAGTTTTGTCTCTGGTGGAGGTAAAGGTTATAGTCTTCGGTGAAAAATCAACACACATCTGGTCAGTAATCGGATCCAGGAACCTATGAATGACAGTCTGGTGTCTTACCCAGACCAATTTCTGTATTTTGTCATTTGAGTGACCTGTTGCATGTTCTAAGTAATACATTGCCAAATTCATGGGATGTTGTGTAATGGTATCTTAACCTGTAAAACTGTTTTTGAAGTCTAAATGTTGATTTTTGTTGGTTGAGGCTTTCTTCTTCTTTTTTTTGAAGAGAAGCTTGCTGTCAAAGCATTTAAAATTTCCACTTGCTTTAAATGAAATGTTTGCATTCTGCATGTAGGAGATGCTGGAAATTACTGAATCAGTGGAGAAGTTAAACCTCAAGGAATGCTGTCTTTGAATTTATTCCAGAAGCAATCCATTGGATTGTATAATTTTTTTTTCTCCCAGTTCTTAAGAATTTGTTTTGGTAGAATTCTAAGCTGTTTCATATAAGCTCAAAGAGTGATTGTGAATTAACTCATTGTTCCTAATTTTCTGCAGAATAAAATGTATGGTTTCATCTGTTGTTTCTTTGTAACATGCAAAGGAATCAAAACTTGCAGACAGCTTGGGGGATAATGCAAGCTTTTGTATATGAGTGTATATGTCTTGCACATAGGTTGTTAGTTCTGCATCATTTCTGGGTTGTCTTCTTTTACAGTTGGTGATGGATGAATCAGGATTCCATTGTGTTGATTGCAATGATATGATTCAGATTTGTTTGTTTCTTCCCCATCCCTCCCATATCCCAGGGTTGAAATAGCTATACATTGGTGCTGAGGATATGCGCTCTGGTAATGGTCTGGTGCTGCAGCAACGAGTGCAGTTGTATAAATGGTGTTGCTTCAGGGTTGCTTTTAAGGCATTCCAAAAGGTAGACAAAGTTATTTTGCTCTTACCAGTCTAGTCTTGGAATAAATGCAGTCTTTCAGGCTAATTGTGGAGCATGAAACTGATATTCTCAATGAAATTCACTTTTGTACAGTTCCTTTCCCAGTATAATATCCTGCTGTACTTTATTATTGATCATCTGGTCCTGTCATGGTAGGCTCCGTTTTGAAACAGAAAGAAAAAAAAACAGCTGAATGCTCCACAGATGCCCGCTTTCATAAGGATCTATACCACGAACTGACGGTCACTGTGAGCACACATTAACTTTTCTGCCAATGTGGAATTGCCTTATCAGCCGCATGAAGTGAGCCTCAGGACGGCGGCGTTTGCGTGCATCTGGCTGGCGTTCTGGCCTGTGCCCGAGTGCAAAATCCGGTGAAGTGTTTGTGTGGGTATATCCCCTGCTGGCTGTCATTGCAGTATCAGAATCAGCAACAGTCACCGACACCGGCACAGCAACAACAGCAGCCCCCACTGCCGCCACAACAACAGCAACAACAACAGCCGTCTCCACAGCAGCAGCCAGAGCTAATGCAAGCTGCCATAAAAGCTGAATCTGCAGCTCCTACGCCTTCTAGTAGTATGGAAGTGGAAGTAGGTAGTGAAGGTCCAACAGAGGGAGGTGGAGAGACAGCAAAAGTTAAAAGCTGGCAGCTGAAGAAGAAAATGCCTGGTTGTAAGTATGATGCATTATGCCGCAAATGTTGGAGATGTTGGGTACTTTGTAATTAAAAATAATTACTGTCATTCTTAATGTTCCCCAGTCAAGATAAATAAGAAGGTGAAGAAGCGCCGTCAAAACGCTCGCCTCAGGAAGCTTTTGCAGCCAAAAAATGCCATTATGGTTCTCAATGAATTAAAGACTGGCATCAAGTTTACTTTCCAAGAACATACAAATGCTCTAACACAAACAATGTTTGTTGTTAATGCAGAGGTAAGTATGAATATCCAATATTTGAACTCTTTTTTTATGGTGAGAAAATGTGTACAGGTAGCCCTTGATTTGCCCCGATCCAATTTGCGCTGATCCAGAATAACGCCGATTTTGAAACCAGCATGTCAAAAAGTGAAAGAAAAAAAATTTTACTATTATTTATAATGTTCTACAATGTTTCTCGTAGTGCTTCTTATACTAAATCTTAATTCTTACATCGCTGATTTTGAATAAAAATTATAAATACAGTCATCTCTGCAATTACGTATGTTTCGTTAAAGCGAATTTGCTCCAGTGAGATCGATGAATCGGTAAAAACTGTTTATGAAATGCAAACTTTTGCATATGAGAGTTTGCTCTCATGCAGTTTCATTCCTGGCGCTTTATTCAAAGGACTAATTTAATCTCTACGGAGGTACCGGGATTATTTTTACTACGCGATTTTCTACAGGTCAGCGTCTTACATGAATGCAAATATTGCATAACAGTAGAGATGACTGTACACATAAATCACATGAAAGAATCACAGTCAATAGCGGAGACCAACGAATCGCCTATTGTAAGTGTATAAAATATATTTTTTAAATTCACTTTATTTTATTGACGTTATTTCAGAGCTTTAAATGTAATGCCATTATATTACTCGTCAATGTTTGGGTGCTGGGAACACATGTCATTGACTTCCCATTGATTTACATTATAAAAGAGTTTCAATTTACGCCGATTCAGATTATGCGGGTTCATCCTAGAACACAACCCCAGCGTAAATCGAGGGCTACCTGTAATTAACATACTGTTGTGTCATTTTAATTAATAAGCCCAGAATCCCAAAGTCAGACTAAATGTGTGAAGGTAAGTGAAATGGTTTGTGAATGAAAACATCTGCTGTCAGACTATGAAAGTATTGATGGGTGATTGTGAGAATATTTCATAATCAAATTGTTGTTTGCCATGTAATTTCTTAGACTCAGATTACATTTTATAGAAATTTAGGGACCTAATGGATGTGTTTGTTGGCCATCACTGAAATATTCTTTCTTGATTCACAGGTAGATGGAAAGATCCATACTGGTCAAGGTCTTTCCAAGCCATTAGCAAAGCAGAATGCTGCTGAAAATGCCCTCAAAGCTCTTCTTTTAGAGAAAATGGCACAGGCTGCTATAAAAGTAGAAGGTTCTGAGCTACCTGAACCAGTGCAGGAGGATACAAACAATGATACAGGAAGTACTGCAAATACTGAGGGATCTGATGAGATGTCAGATTCAGGAAGGTCAGAAACTCCTGAGGATGAAGTCCCATGGGGTAGCCTGGCATCATTTGCTTTGTACAAACTGTTTACTGATTGGCAGAGTCAGGGGACTCATGTTCCCATTCCAAAACAAACAGCTGTTCCAGCCACCAAACAGGTAGGTAGTTTGTAGCTTGAATAAGTGGATTTTTGAACTTTTTCCCTATATTTCCACTTCCTATATTCAGTCTGGCTCTGCACTCAGATATTGCCTTCATCTGATCTTGCCAGCTCATCTCCCAGTAGGTCATTATAATGGGATAATTACATTGCAGGATGCAGCCTTACACCACTCTTTCTTAGTGTATATGCTGTAATTTTTATAATCATTATTTTTGAAATATATCCTCTAAACTAGACATGCTTGTCAAGTTTCCCCGCAAGATGCTTACCATCTTTACACTTTTAATGTTTTGTCCCAAAATTACCATTTAGTGTTCTAGATAGTATGGCTGTGAAACAAAATTATATGTCAGGAGTTGATCCACACACATGTATTCCTTAACTCCCATTGTACTTGACCTGTGCAGTATATATTCATAACCATTCAGTTCAGTTATTCCCTGTATAGAAATGTCGTGTGTGATACCACAGTGGGACATTGAATGTTCATGTGAAGAACGGTCTGTGAGAAATGTAAAGTGAAGATTGGGACATAAATTTTAGATGTTACAGTTCCACAATGAGAAACTATTTATTGAATTGTAAATAAATACGGGGTTATGACTGGATGAAACTGAAGTTGGACTTGAATATGCGAATTGGAAATCTCTTATGTCTTGCACATGTGTCCAGCACAAAGTGCCAGAAAACATGTGTAACTGAAATAATATGTTAATTGCAGCCCAGGATCCCACTAACAGTAAATTTTTGTGTTTGAACCCCTGAGTTTGATCATGATGGTGAAATTAACTCTCGCCTTCTCTAGTGATTCATTTCCATGGAAGATATAAATTCCCTGAGCAACTGATAATTGAAGTTCACACAATCCAATAATACATATGGGTTCATTATATGATTTGAATTGATGTATGAGTACAGATAAAATAATTGTTTACTTCCAGAACATAATTCTGAAAGGTACATGGAGCAGGTGGCCAGTTTTTTAAACAGCTACTGCATTGTGTAATTCTGTCTAGTTCCACATTGGAAAACAATGCCCTAAACATGATGTCAGTAGAGGTCATTCCACTTTTGAACTTCTAAAACCACTCAGATATTTAAGTTCTACTCTTTCTTCCTTTCTTAAAGGAAATTGTAACATGTCATTGTTTTCTGTAACAGTTTATTTTTTATGTAATTAACATCAAATGATTAGCATTTTCAAGCAAAGGAATCACTGCTGACTGCAGAAGTGTTACTTTGTAGCAAGTACAGGAAATGTTTTTATTATACCACATGATACTGTAAAAGCAGGTTACTTTAAGTTCACAAATCTGACTTGGTTCAGGTCTTTGTCTGAGAAGAGGCAAATGTGATTGCAATTTCTTGTGGTTTTTCATTCCCTGCAGACAAATCAGAATGGTATTTCAAGCCATGGCACTTCTCCCTACTGTTGATGAATGAGTTATATCTTATTTGGTGCTATTACTTAAGGACTTGATACAGCTTAGTTAAATAACCAGTCACTGAACTTTTCACAGTAATTTGATTTCATTTGTGTAATTAGAAATGTTGTGTCCATAGATTCAAACAGCTCCTGCTCCAATGAAGAAAATTCCAGAAAACCCTACTGATCGTCATCCTGTAATGCTGTTGAATCAGATGAGACCTGGAATACAGTTTACTGAGATCAGTCGGGAGGGAACTCCTCCAAATCTCACTTTCACGCTGGGGGTTACTGTTGATGGAAAGTCATACACTGGAGTTGGTTAGTACTTCTCTAAGTGCGGTACTCGAGATTTAAGTCCCTGAGACATATGCGGCTTGGGAAGTCATGCTGCACTATGAGCAGACTGAAAAATATACGTTTTAATTTGATGTAAACTTTACTGGTAATACATTTATGTACTGTAAGTTATAAAATAGTCAGTAATGACGAAGCAGATGAATTAGTAATCATACTATGAACAGTGGAGCAGCGGAAAACAAAGACATGAGAGATATCTGTGTACTAAATACCAATGCTCCACTCGTGAAGAGGGGGTTATGCATATCACTTGTCTACTAGACCGCCTATGTTACAAGCTATCCTGCTACGCGTCAAGTAGGTCATTTGGGGGGAATGAAGGTATAGCTCCTACTCTTTCTTGACCTTGGCACTAGATGGGGTGAGTGGTCAGTATAACGCCCCAGCTATGCTTTACTCTCGGAATAGGACCCCGGTACCCGTTGGATAGGAGGCTGAGTGGGCCACAGAGCCGGTCCGGACGCAAAGGCTAGGGGAAAAATCCTCTGCCTATGTTTAAAGTATTTACTTATTTCTCACATGTATAGTAGATTTTGTTTATTAGTGTAAAGGTAAGACTATCGTGGGGTAAGTGACAGTAAAGCGCCATGCGTTAACATAAGCTCCAAGTGGAGTTTGTAGTCAGTTACTTTACTTCTGGGAAAGGAGGCATCCTCCCCCATGACCCATTAGATAGGAGACATGAGATGCCCCAGAACTGGACTGGACATGACAGTGAGAATAATACCTTTCAAAGTGGGAATTGGTCAGTGTTCATTGCCCTATGGCCAGTCATGACTGAGCTGTCTTAGCTCTTACATAGTTTACTCTTTGATTTCAAACGCTGTTAGTGCATGTGAAATTGTAATTGTATGTCCCATTTGGTTGGCTTAAATGTTGTCATTGTGAGAATACAGTGCATTAGTTTGTTCCGAGATGTGCACAGTTGAATGCATGGAGATGAAAGGGCACATGTCACATAAACCACACTTTTGGCAAAGTGAGAAAAACTGTTATAATGTGGGATTCATGGTGGTCTTCTGGGCTGTCATGCCGTGTAGTCTGCTTGAAGTTTACAGATGTTTCAGAGGTCTTTGCTGCCTCTATCCTTGTTCCTATTGTTTAGCAAGCCCTTGCCCAATTCTCACTCCACTCCCCACTGGTCATGTTCTTATAGCAAACTGATTTCACACGTGCAGCTTACTTGTCACACTGATGATGGAGGAAGCAAGTACCTCTGAAATGCTGGTAAACTTCTACCAGACTACACAGCACTACAACCCAGAAGAGAGCCATCTTTGTTCTTAAGTTTCAGAATTTTATAAAATAGAGCAAGTTTTTCTAAAGCAAAATTGACACTTTAATTCTAACCATGGTTTCTTTATCAAAATACCCTGAATTACATCTCGGAACAAAATTTTGGCCACCAACTTTCATACTCTGCTGAGTTCTCATTGCACATGGTTACTGAAAAATTCCCTTTTCTGCTCTATTGCTTGATGAATTTGTGGTACTCTTCTAGTATATACTCCGTATCTGTTTTATGTTGGACTTTTTTTCAAAGTCCCTGTCAAAGGACAGAAAAGAGTGACCTCTGATAGGGAGCTATTTAAATATTTTGTTGAATCTTCCATTAGTAACACGTTTGCAAAGAATCTAATAGTAGTATGGATTAAGTTTTGGCCAGGACAGCTAGAGGGGAGGGGAGTACTCAGTTCCTTGACAGTTTGAGGTATGTGGTAGCAGTAGATTTGCATCAAATCCAACATACACTCAGCTCATAAAGCTGCCATTTTGGAAAAAATATTTCATTTCTGTGCATGCAATTAGAAATGGAAACTTTATCAGTTTTTATTGCAACCCGGTTGTAAAATTCCATTAGGTATTTTTTATCTGTAATTTTTATTAAAATACTTGGCCTTCATCACTAGTATGTCATTGTTCTTAATTTCTTGTACATTCTTGTTCACTTCAGTTTCTGAGATTTTTCATAGAAATTTATGGAATGTTTGGTGGATTGTCCATATTGTAGATGAAGTGATACATTGACATTTGGCAATAGGTTAGAGGTTTTGTACAAATAAATTTTCATTTGCTTTCTTTCCAGCCAAAAACAAGAAGGATGCCAAGAAAGAAGCAGCCAAAGCAGCACTTGCAGGATCTCTGAATATATTCTATGATTGAAGAACCACAGAAACTTTGTTTGTTCCTTTTAATGTGTGCAGTCATAAGTACTGTATGGATGTAAAGTAGTAAGAGAGAACTTTTTCCTAAGTATTTTCATTGCATTTGAGAAGATAATGCTGCCTAATGCCACCCTATTATCCTAATGATGTTGTTGTCCCTTTTGACAGTTTTGGAACCTCTTTAAGTAACTAATGCTACACAGCATGCAATATTTTATTAAGCTTATGGTCATTCCTTGTGAAGGGCTGTGCAGATTGTAAATGGTGGTATAGTATGTAACTTTTTTTCTGTCTTGTTAGATTTGAGAAATCTATCTTAACCTTATTCTAGGGGAGAATTGTAATACTGAGGTCCTGAAAGCCACATGAGAAAAGTTTTAGTAGCACTTGGCATTATTGACTAAGCCCGTGGATATAATCTATTTGGGAAGTGTTTTTCTGTGACTCTTTATTCTATGGTATGATCCTTTGCTGTTTTTAGAGCATATAAATGTAAGAATTGGGAATGTATATACAATCCAACTATACTGTTGTGTTTGGCATTTAGACAATACACCATTTCAGTCAAAATTTCATTACTAGGAGAAGGGCTTTTTAGGTTTGGGGATGGGAATATGAAATCTCTCTTTTTTTAACCCCCTGTTGTTGATATTTAAGTTTCCTGCTGCTTGCTTATGTGAGTTATTTAAATTTGCAGTGGTGCTGTTACCTGGCAGTTACTCATGCCAATGTTTATTTGTATTTATTTGCCAGCAGTTATGAGATCCATTTCAGAGATTACCATTATTATGCCATGTTGGTGACAACTTGAAGTATAAACAATTGGCCACAAGTTTACGTGTATGTTGCCTTGTGAGTGAGACTCCATATTCCACTCCGAGGGATTAAGTTCGTGTCATTAGCTCCATACAGCAGAATTTGACAACCAGTGAGCAGGACAGAGTATCTTCAGTGGGGTATAGAATAGTAACTGCTTCTCAGGGAACCCACTTTTACATACATCACTAATTTCCATCTTTGTGTATGCCTTGTTTTAATCTGTGTATCAACATTTTCAAGATTTATTTGGCACATTATAAAATTTAAAATTGACTGCAAGTTTTTCTCCCCAAAAATATTATGGTTTGACATGGAATTTGACATACTCCATATTCAGATGTTGAAAAAACTTTTTTATGAGTGCATTAAAATTGCTTTTTAGACAAGTGGATTGTAAGTATCAAACTCATAGCTGGCACATTGTTCTCTGCAAAGATGGATAGGTCATCTGTGTCTAATGCTTGGTGGATAGACAGTGATAAGTAACTTAGATTGCAGTCAGTGTAACATATCAAAGTTTAAAAAATCCTGTAAGTTATATGCATGTTTTGGATGCTTTTGTGTTCAGAGGTGGACCAACTAATATGTAGCGTCATATTCTCTGCAGTAGAAGTGTGTTACAAATCATGGAAATCTTAATTTCAAATAAGATAGAATATTTTTGCAGTGTAGTCTTTTGTTCAATAGGACCTTCCTCATTTTTATCATTTGTGTTAACTTCTGTCCATGTAAAAATTACCTCAGTTCAATGCTTAGATTCATTGTCCCAAATAGAAACCTAAATGTTTTCCATTTAGGAAGGAGGGGTGGCAGTGTTGTATATTCCAAGTACTTTGGGGGAAATTAACTTACAGTGGCCCTCAGAATGATTTGTATCAAAAGTATGAAAATCTGTATTGACAAGTGTGTTTCTCATGACCATTTTCTGAAAAACTGAAATGGCAGATGGCAGTGAGTCTCCACATGAGCAAAAATAATATGGAACTCGGTGTTGAGGTTGCTTTGACATTGAACCAAGTAGAACTTACGTGTGGTGTTAGCCTCCCTTCATTGGACTGCAAAGACTGAACATGCATACAGAAAAACCTTGCTGATGTGGTCAGTTCTAGCTCAGTTGATTTTGCATGGTTATTGCCACTCATTTGTTGACATTTATATAGTGAAGGTTTCTGACAATGTAAGTCCTAAAATACTTTTCTGTGTCTTAAAAGTGTCACATGTAACTCTCAGATCATGTTCTACAGCTTATAGTCATGACATCACCTTTGGAAGTACAAGTTCTGCAATGTCCACACACATATAATTGAAAATAACTCAATTTCTGTTTTGTGCTTCAGTAAAATAATTTTAATATATTGTGATATATTAAATGATATCCAATGGGTACTGGGGTCCTTTCCCAGGGGTAAAATGCAGGCAGGGTGTGATGCTAAACACTCGCCCCCAACTAGTGCTGAGGTTAAGAATGAGTAGGAGCTGTACCATCTCTCCCCGCAAGCGCCAATATGGCATACAGTGGGACAGCTTTTTCTAATTATAATTAGAAAATTCATTAATTTGCAAATTAAAATTATAGCCTGATCCAGATCACACTTTTCCCTCATAGTTCACAGTGATGTTTTACTGTACAGACAGCACCGTGTTATCAGACATAACTTCTTGGTTAACACTGGTGAACTAAAAACTGAATTTTCCGGCCCTGTCATACTGGTAGGTTTGATATCGTTCTGCTGAAATGGTTACTGTGATTTGTCAAATATCAAAGTCAATGACATTTAAATGTCTGCAGTTTAGCATTTAACTACAAATAGATTATTATCTTAGAAATTCATAAACTTACACTCCTGTTTGTGTTTTCAAACATGCAAGTCAGTGTTACATCATATAAAAAATTATTATCCTAGACATTGCCTGCAACAAATGAATGGCCACTTTTGTTTTCATGTAGTTAGACATCGATTCTTTAGTTTTACTTTCTATGTGATGAAGTAATAGAATGGCTTTGCTTGATTGAGCAGTGATAAGTATGTTTCACATTGAATATTTTATTCATTTTAAAATATGAATCTTACACAGTTTACCAACGTTAACAATGTCAAGTTCTTTTATGTCATGTGAAGGTTAGCCATTTCATGTTTCCTCTAAAAATTCCACATGCAGGACAGTCTAAACATTAAAAACAACAACATAATTAAGTTCTCATTAATGTTATTAGCTGTAACTCAAATGTTTATGCATATCTTGACATGTACAATTTTTATTATTGTACTGCAACAAGAATGGTTGACATTTTATGCTTAGTAGTAGCATGAAAGGAAATAATTAGAACTGATAATTTAAGTAGGTGTGTTGAAGGTTCCCATGAAAGTGAATGATAGATAATAAAGCTTAGTGTCTGTATACAAGTGTCTTTGTCTTATGACTGGCCTAGAAATACCTTTTCCTCTCCAAATTCTAGGGTAAAAATATTTTTTATCAAAGACTCAATTACCAATTCCATTTCACTTGTCACTTCTTGCAATACTTGATCAATGAGATGGTCTGATAACCTGAAAACATATTTCATAAATTAAGTTGTGTGGTAGGGTGGGTTGGTTGAACCTTATTCGGCATGCAATGAAATTGTACTGTGAATGGGGATGAATGGGCTGTGATGTTATTTTCCAGGATTCACTTCACTTGATTGTTAATGAATTGGTGTCTTTACAAGGTCAAGTATTAGCTGACATTCAGTACTGCTGAAACTCATCCAGGGTTGGGATTAGACCCTTCTATCAGACTCACCAGACTAGGACCTCTTATCTTTACATTTTAGATCCATTTTAGATTGTTTTCACCTTCCATGGTATAATCTTTCTATTTAGTCTAAAAGGTTGCTGCCATGTTAATTTCTCTGTTAACAAAGCCAAATGCAGTAGGATTTTACCATTTATGGTGTGTATCTTATGAAGCTGAAGAACAAACCTGTCTACTGCAATAATTTTAACAAGAATAGAAGTGTTTAAAAATAGGTGCTAGTGAAGTGTGATTTGATTGTGGGTTTCTGCACAATATCCTTCAATAGAAAAAGTCCAAAAATAACATATAGTTCATCTCTTGTGGCAGTTTTCAAAGTGTGAATACTTGATTTAGATTGCCATCACAAATGTAACAGGCAAATTTAAAAATTGATATTAAAAATATCACTAGTTTTAAAGTACATAACACTAACTATAATTTGCACACCATCATAATTTAAGTTGTGGACTGTGTTGAAAAACACTGTACTAAAAATTTTGTATTAAAATAATAATTATTACCTGTCAACCATAGCCCATGGTGGTGGTGTACCTCTGTACATAGGATTAAATTGCATATAACCGTGGAATTTCTGGCGATAAACTATAGCAGACCACATGTCTGTCATGGGCAAAGTTAATGCACTTTTCAGTCCACTTTCATGATGATTTATTCTTGTATCTTCCTCATCTGGTGGTAAGCAAATCAGTTGGGCATTTTGAGGCCCTATTTTAATGATTCTGCAATAAAATCAAATGATTTTAGGTTTCCTAGAGTAGAATGAACAATGCCTACATTCATGCTTCCCCATTCCCTTACATATATACAGGCAGCTCTCAGTTTACGAATGAGTTCCGTTCCAAGATGTTTGTTATACGTTTTTGTTCGTTATGTGTTATCTTGCATTCCTGATCTTTTACGATACGTATAGTAAACTTCTACCAGACTACACGGCGTAAAAACCCAGAAAACAGCCATCTTCATGTTGATTTCTTGTTTCTCACTGCAGTTTACATGCATTTCCCATGTCAACTTTTTTTAATTTGTCATCAGACTTCCACTTCTCTCTTAGTCCCAAATATTCTTGTTTCCAAACACCTTCATTGTGTGTTCTTTCCTCAAAATAAGAGTACAAGTTTTTTGCTGTACAACACAAAAAATATATTAGGATGGCTGTTTTCTGGGTTGTAGTGCTGTTCAGGCATTTTCAAGGGCCCTTGCTGCCAACATGAGTAATCTCACTGCCCTGATGATGGAGGCAGCAAGGACTTCTGAAACAATGGTAAACTTCTACCAGACTATATGGTGGTACAACCCAGAAGACAGGCTTTTTGACGTAAATACGTCTATAAGGAAGGGTCATTCGGCAAAAAAGTGTAATGATAAAGATCCGATAACAATGGTTACCTAGGGAACGTCGTCTGTTTACTCGGCATTATTGTTACCTATGAAACGTCATCTGTTTACTCAACATTATTGTTACCTAAGAAACGTCATCTGTTTACTTGGCATTATTGTGTTACATTACTTTCGTTATTGCGGCAAGAGCTGAGCTGTGATTCGCTTGTAGAAGAAGTGTGTCGTGGAGTAGATAATTTTGTGCTGGTAAAAACGTTTTACAATATCACAAGTACTTATCTATTAAGTAATCTGTTGTTGTGTTAGTTTGTTGCGTCATACTATGTACAAGATTGATGTTAAAAGACTCCATAAAGCAGAATATATGAGACTACAGAAAATGTAAAAAAATTGAAGTATTAGATAATGAACCTAAAGTTCCCAAAAAAATACCAAAAACCAATGCTGAACGTATAAGGGAATACAAAAATCGTGTTTACTCGGCATTACTGTTACCTAGGAAACGTCATCTGTTTACTGAGCATTGTTGTTACCTAGGAAACGTTACATTACATTACAATACATTACTTTACATTACATTCATCTACCACAGACCCATGTTAAGCGTTAAATAAGCAATGTCTTAATCAAACTTTACTCAATTGTAAAGCGGGTATAAAGGAAATATTTAGAATAAAAGCCAATATATAAACTTCCTTTCCGTATAGACGTATTTACGTCAAATTCTCCGGAACCGTGGTTCCACTGTCACTTTTTTTCTGGGGTTGACCTTTGCGTTGCTTGGTGTGGCACACCTGGCTAGGTGGTGATATAATTATGGGCAATTCATTAACATGCTTGAAAGGGAAAGTGTCTGGTGCCTGATCGAGAATTCCTGTTTGTGGTATCAAGGTTATTTTGCCATACAGAAATTGTACAGGAACACATTTGTGGTCAGTGTGGTCTTACATGTTCCTGCATGCCTCGGTATGTGTACAACTCATTCCGTTGCTTTGATCATTCAAAGTCGGTGTTTAAAGTAATGTTCTAGTAATGATATAACAGTGTTCAAAAGCACCATTTCTATGTGCATTAAATTTTGTGAGAAGAAAGGCAATGACCAGAACTTACTAGTTCATGCAAAATTGAACCACACAAGTTTTTTAGTGTTTCCATCATTTTAAGTTTATGGTTAGTCATATGTTAGTTTTCACAGATTCAATGTCGGTATTTGATCAGGCCTTGTACAGCGCTGTGTAAAGTTCACATTAAAGACATGTAATATCAGTACCGTTAATGCTTACAGTCAAGTGATGCACTTAATATTTATAAGGAGTTTGGAGGTTCATTGGAGCAATGAATGGAGTAGAGGCATCAGTACAGGCTTCCTTTCATTCTTTATTAGCAGTTAATTGATGTTCCTGAGGGTAAGTTAAATGCAAAACTTGTGTTAAAATCTGTGCAACATAAAATATGAAAAATATAAGTCAGAAAGCTTCAAACACAGAGCAACATAGTCCTGATGCCTTGACATGGAAGAGATGTCTGACCTCTTACATAAGTCAAAATGATGTGGGGTGTCAAAGAAGCCTTTATGAAAATGTATGGAATTTTCACTCACTTCCTTTCAGCCTGTCGTCGTGTGGCAAGGAGACTGTTGTCACTTTCACTTTGTTGCAGTGGCTGAGAGGCAATGTTTTTGACTTGTATTACCTTCATGTCTTCCATAGATGCTAATGGTGGCCCATCTAATTTTTTTTCAATTTCTTGAGAAACCTGCAGAAAAAGTAGTAGTAATTTAATTTGTTTTGTTAATTCACAAAGTACAAGGCATTCAGTAGCAGAAGCTGAATGAGATGGGTTGCAGGTAGTATGTATGGGTATGTTCAATAATCATGGTGAAGGCCATGTAGAAGACCAAGGCTTGAATGGGATGATAATTTTGAAATGGATTTGGACACTGTACCTTAAAGAGCTATGTATTAAAATTGGGACTGGTAAAGAGCCTGAATTGTTAAAGAAAAGGGGAGAGGGCTGCTTCACATGTTCTAGACTAGGGCTTTAGCTGAATTAGTGAATACAAAGCAGACTTCATAAGCACATAATTTGAGATGCAGGACTGCTAGAATACCAAGTACAGAATGGGCCCCAGAAGCCTCCATTTTTCAGAGCTCTGATAACACATCGCAATCACTACAACTTCAAAACCACAAGTATATGGTGATGAACATAGAAGTTATGTTCCTGGAAAATGCTGTGTAACCACTGGAGGAGGTGGGAAGTGTAGTTTTATCAACAGAGACTTCCTCTAATTCTTAATCAGCAACTAATTTCTGGGTTGAAGACCTTCCTTAAGAATGACAACCGGGCACATACACAGACCTGTAAATCATGATATACCTGGAAATTGTCATGCTGTGATGATAAGCACCTGTCAAACATCAGTCAGTTCCTACGAGACTACACAGTGCAACATCACGGAAGACTCATCTTCATTATAACATGTTAGGAAATCATTGTAAAATGGATTGATTCAGTTCAAGACAGTCCCATTATGAGTCTTCATAATATCAGTCACTAACCTTCAGGTTCCATAAAATCATGAAGGTTCTTTATGAACTAAATATCTATCAAAAACTCGGAATTTTTAGTACAAATTAGTTGGATAAGTGTAAGGAACATTCACTACATTTTTGTTTACGTATAAGTACAAGTTCCTGTCAAGAGGGTAATTTGAAGACAAATGTTCATGTTCAGAAATTGAAAAAGAATCTTCTCCCCACAAATAAAGCATTAAAGTATGAAAATAAGTCACAGATCTTACTCAGTTCACTAAACTTCTCCATTCTTTTTAATCTGTTTTATTCTCTACAGTCTACATTATCTTACGAGATGGGATAGCTACTCGTATGTCAGTATAGTGGCTGACTGGATGGCCAACATTTTTTTCTTGGCATGAGAGAGATTATCTGACACCACATCCAAATCTACTGGGGCCAACCCACCTTTCCAGGCAATAGACTGGGGGTAAACCATCTGCAGGGTAAGGTTGAGCATTCAGCTGTTGAGTGCTTAGGGATAGGAACAACTGTACTTCACCATTACATTATCTTCTTACCCCCGCTTCTAACTTGTCTACAAAATATTGTAGCAGAGATCCCAGTTTGGTCTGGAACATTTATTCACAGATTTCTGATATTTTATCAGACAGGTCTCTCATGTCCATGCATGATGTCAACTCACATGGCATCTTTAATTCTGATCCATGTTTCATAGCAGGATTCATCCTTTAAATTAATATTAGAAATTAAATGAGTGACTGTCAGGAATGGCAGTAGCAATTGCTCCTTCAGGTTCTGCATTCTTGACTAGTTGGGTTGACTCAGATTAAGAGTACCTCTTCTACATGGAGGTGACTTTGAACCTATGTAATAGATATAAAACCCCAAAATACTGCTTGCAGAATACATTAACTTTGATATTACATTTAAAATTATAGTGGTCAGTTGGCTGGTTGAGTCATAGATTATTTTAACAGCGCTGAATCAACTGCAGATGTTATTTAGTACTGAGTTATGTGAGAAACTGATTATGAAGTGGATGAGGTGGAAAGGACTGGGGAAGAAATGGTAATGGCATAATTCAATGTACCATCTAAGCATTTGCCTACATGGAATGCAGAAACTCAGTGATAAGTCTCAGGACATCTAATATTTCAATCAAGAATTGAACCAGACAGCCTCAGCCAAAATTTGAACTTGGTATGTCCTCAATGCATGAATACAGGATTGTTCCATTAAAACACAATCCTAACCACAACAGTATTTGTAAGCTTTTGTGACATCAATATAACAAAATGTAAATAGTTTTTATTTCTTATGAAAAACTTACAGAACCACTTTACACCTGTCAACACTGTCTGATGCCAAACATGTTTCCTGTTGCAAACACTTCATGTGTCCCAAAATGTTTTTATAAGTTAGAGTATTGTCTTATTTGATAAGTTCTTGTCATGATATTGATTGATAAATGCTTCACAAACTGTAGCAAACAATTTTGATGCAAACCAATGTCTGACAATGAACATGTGTTCTGCCTTTGAATATATCATGTTTTCACCTGCACAGCTTTTGAAAAACAAAATGAGTAGTAGCCTAGTTAATAGTGTTTTAGGGGAGGTTGGGAAAGACCTGGGTAGACCTGCTTCTGATTTCATTTTTGTACTGTAGTATGTGATCATTATTAGGTTGCATTTCAAATGGTACTCTCTACAGGTCAGTAAGTAAAATGACTGGCTAAGAGCTGGACATTCCTAACATGGCTAGAATCTTTCTCTTATTCACACCATCCAGGTTCAGGGTCCCTTCTATTATCCTATCCAGTGGATACAAGAAGATCCTTCCCTGGGGATCAAATGGACAGAGTATGAAGCTATTTACCTCCAGCTAATGCTGAGATTAAGAGTGTTGAACTTAATCTCCATGCCCCCAATACAGATTCATGATGCAGTTCTTAGATACAACACTTTTACCAAACATTTTTACTTCCTAAACACAACTCAGATACAGTACAGTATGCCTGTTCATTGTTTTAAAATAAAGAATATGATATTAAGGTGTTTCTGTATTTGTCTTACCTGTTAAAGAGATTAAAATGAAAAAAAAGAAACCTGTAAGAAACACATGTCAACATTTACAAACCTTAGTAATAACTTTGGAGTTAGTAAATCTTTTGTTCCTAAATGTTGCAGAACCTTGTTTTTTGTAAGGATAACCACATACTGCTACAGCAAGCTTGGAAGCAGACTCCCGGTAAATTTTCTTGCTAACAGAAGATTCTCTTTCTGTTGAATTAATGGAAAATTTTGTCTGTCTTGGCTTTCGTAAACTGCTTTCCCATTCTCTCTCACCAGTTGCACACATTACACTGACAGGTGTATCATGAGATATAAGCAGATCACCTTCAGTTTTATTGATCAAGTGCTTATTGTTGATCAGCTGGAGGAGTGCTTTGGATTTATTTTCAGCATTCTGTAGAGAAAAAAATATAACACACATTCAAATGCTGAACAAAGAATATAATGTGAGATTCCAGGTACTTTATATTAATATTCTGGCCCAGTTTCATAATAATGTTTGTTTTATATGTATTGTCATAACCAGACTGGAAATACAAACACTATAATACCTTTCTGCATCAGATATATCAGTCCAACAATGTACAGAAAAATATGTATAAGGCTTGGAAATTATCTCATTCATTTTCAGTGCGATGAATGTGTCAAAGGATATATTAATATGGATCTTACAGATAAAGGTTGTGAACATGTGGACTGGATTCATCTGGTTCAGAGTAGGGTCCAATGGCAAGTTCTTGTGAATATGGTTATGAACTTTTAAGTTCCATAAAAAGTGGGGACTATTAGCTTTGCAAGGACTCTGATCCATGGAATGTTTGTTAATGAAAAGATAATAATTGTAGCATTCTTACATCTGGCCCTGGTTCAGATGCTGAAACTGCAACCACAATTCCTATGAATTTGCAGAGTCTAGAAACTTCATTAATGTAATGCACAAGATCTTTCAACTTGTTATGAGCAGCACATTGCACAGAATGTAGCATGTGATGAAGATATGCCTGCAACAATAACCAAAACTGAAAGCTCAAAAATTTGTTCAGGATTTCATTTGTGTTAGGGATGCAAGAATATTTATGAACTCAAAACATTTGTGATCTGGATATTTTATTGTAAAGTTTTCCCATAAATTCTACTTTAGTTTCCATCACCTGTAGGCCTTGAAGTGCTGTCTGATGAGCTACAACCAGTTTTTTACACAGTGCCTGATGACGTGTGTGCTGTGCTCTAGACAGTGTTGATGACTCTCCTATCTGCTTCTTGAGCTCACATACCTAAAAAATGTTACACATTCTGAAGAACTATCTCATATCAGCAAGTGGGAACACGTTCTCTGGTCATATAACATGAATCACATGTATTTTATATCACTAATTATTCACATACAGCAATCACTAATCAACTGTAGAGGTCATGTTCCTGAGAAACACTTTGGCTGGCAAGACCGTTGTGGGAAACTGGGGGTTAGGGGAAATGCAGCCACTGTTAACACTCATCAAAATAAAAAGCATTTAAAAGTAATACGTGTTCAGGCTGTATACAAATTAAAACAATAAATTCACCAGTTTTCTTATCTACCCTTAAAATAACAGATTGCTGAGATTGTCTATGTTGATGACCTGACACTGATGATAATGATTACACTCACCATCTTCCTGCACTACCAGTTTTTTACATGCACACAAATTAAAAACCATAGACACAAAACCAAATCCTGCATGTGGCAAAATCAACTAAAATGTATAACAGCAGATAACTGAAATCCACAGTTTATAAAACTGCAGTTGGCAAAGGACTACTGTACACAAAAACATAAAACCAGATCAGCATGTGAGATTTGAGATTCTCATGGTGATGTACTTCTAGTCTGTGTGCTATATGGCCTTGTAGGTAGATACCAGTGTTTCAGAGAAACATTGTCTCCATCTTCACGGCTTCAGTTTAATATATACTTACTTACTTACAAGTCCACATAGTGTCACAACCCATTAGAACATTGACAAAGTCATTATATTGGCATTAGTAGTATTCATCCTTGGGTTCTGGTATCACAGTGTTAAGTAGGTAGTTAGTTTTACAGTTATATTATGCATAACTCTCTTTGTATTTCATAAAATGTTAACTACATCAGAAATAGTTTTTGAATACAAGTTTGCTAAGGTATGGTTATAATGGTCTCACTACGTAAACAGTGACAAACACAGAATTACACAAGATTACAAACATATTCTTCTCTAGAATAATAATGTCTTTTGGGACATGCCCTGTCAGAACCTGAAATCTCACACATTCTTTTCTACATTACATTCCAATAAACATCTGATGGTATCATTCCCTTACTTGTTGTTTAAGTGGGTAGAGATAATTTCTGGTAAAGCGAGAAGAAAATTCGGCTTCCCTCTCACGTCGCCTCAGAAAGTCCTGGATGCCATCTGGTTCAGGAATCTTGCCATAGAGGTGGAGTATGCCATCAAAAGCTGCATCCATCTTTTTCCATATAATTCTAATTTTTTGTGACTGAATACTTTCCTTATTTGTTCCACAGTGGTGCAGTTTGGGAACAGCTGGTTGTGATACATGATATGAAGTTTTTTCAGGTAGATAATGTTCATGGTTAGATTTGGGCTTGTCTGATCTGTAACTTTTGTTCATATCAAATGACCACTGTTGATAAATACATTCTGTACCATTCAGCATAGAGTACTGGCTGTCTGGCAAACAAAGAGGCTCTTCCTGAATAGGTTCTAATAATGTATTATTATTGTGGTTAATATATTTGGTTTCTGATAAGGTCTCTACCATTTGTAGATGCTCCTTGTTGGGTTTATGTAAGAATGAAACAATATCTTCCCTTCCATGTACGTCTTTTTTTGCCATATCATCCAAAACATCTAACATTGTTCTCCTATATGTTTTTGAAACAGCCTTCAAGGAAACTGCATCATAATGTTCTTGGCAATCTTGCATATGTCCATACCCAGGCAGATCCAGATCTGCATTATAAAACTTTTTAGGGTCATTCTGCATTGCTTTACTTAAGACTGATGGCATTACAGATTCAGAGTATTTATTACATTTGCATTCCTTCTTCCTTTCTCTTAAAAACTCTAACCATTCTTTATCTTCATGTTTTTTCTTCTTCTTTCTTTTAACATATTTAACAATTTGTTCAAACTCATCTTCAGGAACATACTAAAAATCATAAAATTATAGGATAGTGTATTAAAATGTAATGTAATATATATAACATATTTACTCATTGAGATACTGATGATTTTGTTTACTCAAAATCTCACTATAAAATCAATTGAAAGACCCCAAAATATATTCTCAAAATTTGCAGAACATTTCTGTTTAAGGATACTACATCTGTTTCCCAATAAGTAATCTTCTTTGACTTATGCCAAAAAAGTTTCTTACTAGTCAAAGCATGCAAATGGAAAACATTTTAATGAGCACAAAACTACAACCTGCTAGTGAAATGGAAGAATCAAATACCCTTTTCTATCAGTAACAGTGCAAACTGTGTATGTTTGAACACTTTGTGCACAGGTCTGTTGGATCAATAGCCATCTTTATTTTTCTTCTCAAAGAATTTTCCTAATTGTATACAGTACTGCCTCATGAGTGACAGTTGTAGCTTTCCTGCAGTTTATTGTATTTAGGTCATAATGTATGCAGCCTGCACACATGGTAAAGAAATGAGTTAAAATTAGTGCTACCTTCTCTCTAAATATAACCTGGAGTACACTGGTTTATGTAAATAGATTATGGATTCAGTTGCTCAATTCTCTAAAAACAAAAGCCTCCAGAAAATGATTTGTAAGATGAATTATGTGAGGAAAGGATGACAGGTCTATTATATGGAAACTTACTTGAGTCATATTATCCAAATACTGCTAACAAGGGCAGAAAATTCATATTAACCATGTTAGGCCAGCTAACATGGCATTACAAATAAAATTGTATACTGATTTGTTCCACATTATGATCACTGGGACGTATGGGATGCATTTCTATGTGTATCAATGTTCTGTTCCTGATGGTTATATAAGTTTGTTTAAAGTGGTCACAATGGGCTGATAAAATTAAAAACTGTTTTATTAAAACAGATTTGAGGACTTAAACTCGACTTAAACGTAGCAAGAATCCTTGGATGGTGTAACAGCAAAGAATTCCTTGAACTGCTGAATAACTATGTTCAAAGAAGTTACAATGAACGGAACACAGACTTTTCATAAGCCACAATGAACGAACTTGGAACTCCATACAAAAAGGTTCCCAAACAATTTTAGTATAAACCAAAATGTTTTACAGGTATGCTGTATTATAAAACTACGTTACCTTGAATTTACATTCACTTGTTTTACCATCTGATGAATAAATATGGACTGGGGATGCCTTTTCATAAGTAATTGCTATTGGAGGAACCGCATCACAAACATTTCTTGTGTGTACGTATTTAGTTGCTGAAGGTAGTTGATCTTCATCTTTAAACATCTTTTGTAATTCCTTCTAAAGGCAGTTCGACATTAAAATAAATTTAAATCCCTGTTGAAATCTGAACACAGAACACAACATTACAGAATAATCTGACAGTCATCAACGTAAAAATAAACTACACCTATAGTATAATAAGTTTTTGTTGTTACTGTTGGCACATAACCTACAAGCAGGTTACAACCCGATTTGCAGTCAATGGTTTTCGTTCACCATTCTGTGTACAAAAGAAATATCGCAGCCCAGATGAGAACTGTACAAACGGGCATGGACGGTCGTTGAGTGACTACAGCAGGAAAATTTAATATAAGCAGTGTACTCTTTTAATTTTATTACTGTACAGTCCCCTTCGCGATCCCCTGTGCCACGCCTCGTAAATGTTTTATATCAGTAATACGGGCATGGTTGCACAAATTGTTTTGGAGGGTGTACGGCGTGTGAAATAAGTAGCGTGAATTTGTTATTCCACACCGATAAAGTAAATATTAAGTTCCTTCATGTATTTTCGACACATAATATAACGAGTTGCGTACAAGCCGCTTCCTCTCTGCAGCGGAAGGCATGCATGCGCTTCGAGTTGAAACTCGCTGTCTGTATAAAGAGTAGTGATTTATCAGATTTTCACCATACTACAAAAGTTACAATTTTGCTAAAGTCTGAATTCAGGAATGCTTTACCGCAGTATTTAGAAATGCAGCAATTAGCGTCTATTAAGATTAATGATTGTACGTGTGTGAATATATATTTGTGCCATGAAGTAAAAATGAATTATAATTGGATGTTGAAGTAGTATGGGTGCAACAATATGAGACCGTCAGATTCAAGATCAGTGACTGTTCTGCCTGGGACTTCTGGAGAATCCCAACACAGTAAAGAAGTAGTTTTACCACCACTGACATCTCATTATCCACAATGGAGCAGAGGAGGAAAATTAGGAATTGGTCTGTGTCCAAGACCTCTGTCCAATGACAATGAAAATGGTTTGCCTTGTCAACAGAGCAGCCTCAGTGTAAAGGTAAGAGTTGCAGCAAGTACAAAACCATTTAGATATGTAAAGTACAGCTGCCTTGCTACATGCCATGGGTATGTTTGGGTAGGATAGGAGGTATACTCCTACTCATTCTTGGCCTTATCACTAGATGGGGGAGAGTGGGAAAGGACCTCTGAATAGGAGGCTAGATGGGGCCAGGACCTTTCTGGATACAGAAGCTAGAAGAGAAAGTCCTTGTCCTACCACAGATCAAACCGTGGTTGTACAGTCTGTAGTTTGTCACTGTAATGACTGAGCTGTCATGGCTCCTGTGTATGGGCAAGCAAGTAGTACACTGTTTAAATAGAAATAGTATTTTTGGTTTCTGAACAGTTTGTCTTTGGGAGAAACCTATCCATTAACAAAGTTATATGTGAACTTAACACATGAAGTACTGAAGGACTTATATAGCAAAATGCATGTGACGGGAATATTCTGTGACCTTCCGTTCATAAGATGATGCTCACCATATTATGGTATTATGGGATTGATGGGAGGTCTGGAAAATGGTTCTTATCATAACATACAGGCAGAAGTCAGAGTTATAATAAAGTCTGGCACACTTAATACTGCTCGTTAAAATTGGTACAAAGTGAGAAATGGAAACCCACAAGGGTCAATACTTGGCTCTCTCCTTTTTGTAGTATATATTAATGACCTTCCATCCAATATACATGTAGTTTCAAAGCCTGTACTTTTTGCTGTTGATACTAGTATAATAATAATAATAATAATCTTTGAAGCTGATAAAAACTGTCTTGTGTATTTAACAAATGGTATATTTAATTACATGATTTAATGGTTTATAGTTAACAAACTTACCTTGAATTATGACAAAACAGACTTTTTAATGTTAGGTTGACAGTCTGTCTACATAGCAATTTTCTTATTATATGCTCAATGTTTATTAAGTACATACCTGTTATAAATAATTGTAAAGCAATTGCATGGATCTAGGCAAATGTTATCTGTTTCAGATATGTATACAATTTAGCAGTCATTTCTGTTAGTTTCAAGCACTTAAAGAGAACCACCAGAAAATGACCAATTGAGGTCAAATCATATAGTGGGTGTTTATAAACACTGAGCATATAATCAAAAAATTGTTCTGTAGATGGACTGTAAACTCGGCTATCAACATGGGACAGGATGCATACCTCAAAAGACTACTTAACATTTGTGACCATTAACAAACCTCTGACTGATAGGAATATATGCTACTGTTGGGAGGTTAAAACTACGAAGTTCCTTGCCTTACAAATTAATAATCAGTTGAACTGGAAGACTCTCATAGACCAGATATTTCTTAAACTGAGTTCAGCATGCTTTGTATCGAGATCCCATGTCTCATGGATGTTCATTTCAGTAGATAGTCATTATTGCCAGTTTGCCTTCAGGGCTTTTAGAGTGAAGTGTATGAAATAGATAATCATACTTTTAGTTAAATGTTGTGTGTTTGTTTAAAACAGATGAGGAAAGGTTTAAAATCATGAAAGATAAAAGTGATTATGTTGCTGGAAAATATTGTGGATTAAAATATTTTATGAGGAATGTGGTTTGTTAACAGATAAATCCAGCAATTGTTTGATGGTTTTGGTCATGATTATCTGAATGAAATTGGCAGATTCACCTCCATCTGGTGCTGTGGATAAGAATGCCTGAAAATTTAGCTCTGTGCACCCATGTATATGTGGTTTGCTGTTTAAGCACAGAGGCAATAAATACTTTACAGTTGTATCAGATATCCATATTTACTAATTTGGGCATATGTTATGGAGTGGTTCATGGAAGGTTATGTGTCTAGATATTGGATTTTTTGTCAGTCATACAAAGAAATATTGATCAGTATTGTGGTTCAGACACATTTTCCTGTTACTTGTTGCTTTTCCAGAATTATGAAAAGGATACTTAGGTATCATTTTGAATGTAAATTATTGCAATAAACTATGACTTTTTTGTGTCATTAATGTTTAGGAAAATGGGATACTTGTGCAGAGGTAACAAGAGAGCAGTTTGAAGAACAGTAATAACATTTTTTAAAACAAATAGTCCTTATTAAGTTTTTTATTCTGTCCTGTTACTTTTAATTCATCCTGTGTAAAGTTTGATATAATTTGTATTTTCAATACTGTATTTGGATACTGCAGTTTCTCTGCTTGTAAACATACCATAAATATCCATTTTTAAGTGTTCAGTACGTAGTAAGTAGGATTTAATGTTAAACAGATTTTTTTTCAATGCACACCATTTTTTGTAAAGGCTGCTGTAGTGCTTTAATTAACTAGGCCTATTCAGTATATGTAATTGCTAGACAATAATAACACTGTATGCACATTTTTAATATTCTAACACATAACCACTCAAAAAATAGTTCCTCATGCTGTTGCGTTTCTGTCTTGTTTGTGTAATATTCCAATTTAAATCTTGATTTGTAATTGCAATTGTGGCCATAATAATCAAACTGACATGGAAAGTGAACTGGTACCCAAAATTTACTGTGTGAACTGCTATCTGGTGGTAGTTCATGATTCTACTCTGTGGATTCCAAATAATCAATAGTGAAGTCTTTGCAGTGGTGTACAGACATATGGTAGCCATTACAATGAGTATTTAGAGCAGACTAGTTCTGTTTATTGAGAGAAACTGGAACTACAGAAGATTTATAATGCATTTCCTATGTGAACTGTAATTTTTACATTTAGTAACCAATAAATATATATCAGTTTGTGTTTAGGTTTAGTAAACAGTCCAGGATTGGCAGGGTTTTTAATGTTTTTTCCAAGTACAATATTATACATGTGTTATTTGTGAAGGCTATAAACCTGTTTGCACTCAAGGTGGTCTGAGCCTGAATGTTGTTATGAGTCATTCATAAACAAGGTGGGAGGTGTGGTGTACTCATTGCCACAGTTGGAAAGTGACTAAGCTGTCACAGCATCTCAGTCAACCACTTCAGTATTCACTGTCATCTAGAAACAAATCTTAACATCATGGCATCTAAAGTTCTGGTGAAGATTCCAACTGTGCCATTCTCTCAAGTGAGTTCTGCACTATAGATGTAGTTATTTAAATGCATTATCATTATAGGAGTCAGTGTTTGCTATGCACTTTTCTAAATACAGTGAACTGCCAGTCATTCAGATGAATATGTACTTGAGGTTTGCCACCAATGTGGTGAAAATTTCAAAATAGAACAAGAATACACCAGTTATCTTTAAAAGGTGTTAATAAAAAAACTAAAGTAGGATAATTTACATTGAAACAAATTTCATAATTTTTTATCAGAATGAACATTAAACATTATGGCACTACCAGGGCCTTTCTTCTAATGCTACAGATTGATATGACACACATAAACAGTTTTCTCATAAAACGTAAAAATATAATGTAAATTAGAGAATAACAAAGGTTGACATAAGATGAACTATTTTGAGTCCCTAATTTTATATAATTCCTGACATATACTGTAGAATAGTCAGGGTCACAGCTGAAATAACTCAAAACATTAAACAGTTGTGTATAGTACAACTTGTGTTTTATTGATCTGTACTTAACTATAATGTCGTCCTCAGTGGACTAGTGGTTAGCGTGCTTGACACTGGACCCAAGGTTTGCGGGTTTGAACCTGGCCGAGGTCATTGGATTTTTAAGGGTGATAAAAATCCATAGCACAACTTCCTTCAGTGTGGTAGTAAAGCCGGCAGTCCCATGTCGTAGATTTATGGCATGTAAAAGAACCTTATGAACATGAATGTTAAATGTTATGCTTTCAAAAAGTTTATGGTATATGTAAGTCCATGTGATAAATCCTTGTTAAATTGAGCATGGTCTTTGGCCTTCAATTTGAAATTAAAGTTGTCTAAAACTAGGTATGTATTAAATTACAAATCATAAAACTCATTATGTTTTTTTAATAATTATAGAAGATGGATTTCTGTATAAAACCAGTTTGGCCTTTTAATATCTCTTGATTTTAGTTCTCATATGAAGTCCCAAGAGTAGCTTTTGGATGAAAGTGTTACTAGAACAAACAGTTTTTATAAAAATTGGGCTAGTGCCTTTTTGCTACCCTAACCTTATTAATGTTATTGTAATCCTTGAGTGTCTTGACAAATCAATTGTTTTGTGTCTTTTTAGGTTAACAAGAAAGGTCCTGATCTGTCATTAGTGGGAAGATCAGAAGGTCTTGTGATGGCACCAGCTGATCCCCTCTTGCGAATTACACAACTTGAACAGAACATCAGATTTCTTCAAGACCAACACAAACTCATGTTGACTAGTCTTCACCAAGAAGTGGAACAGTTAAGACAAGCAAACAGAGGTACACATCATTATGATATTATATTATAACTTATATGACTCGGATCCATTAGACTGATCAGTGACAGGTTCTTCCCACATCTGCACCCTGTTAGTGTTCATTACGATCATGTTATTTTAAATATGATCCTACATCATTGGTGTATGATGAGAAGTGCTTGTGTCAGAACAATTGACTGTTGACATAAGCCCTTCATAATGATTGCCAAAGATATAACCATAAAACTTGACATACCATTATTACACAGACCAATAGAAGATGAAATCTGTGAGTTGTATAAATTATTTAGTTGTTCCTTATGTAATTAATAGTGTTTAAAATGTTCTCCTCAGCACCATATTCTCAAACATCCTCAGTCTGTGTTCTGTTTGCATGAAGGAACAAGTATCACCCTACATAAAAGAGGTTAATTTGTAGTTTTGTATATTTTAATCCTTGTTTTTAGTCAGCAGACAGGAAATCAAAACAATCCAAACTGCATGATAGTAAGCATTCCCCAAATGTAATCAGTCTGCTCTTGAATTCTTTATGAATGCAATTTTGATTTATCATCATTCCAAAATATTTGATCTTAGACACATTTTCTAAGGATGTATTAGTTATTTTTGTATCATGTTTATGCCCTGCTATGAATGTATACTTAGTTTTCTCTGTGTTTACTTCAAGACCAACCTCTTTACTAGCACCTGATAGAACTTAGGTGTTTTTCTTTATGATATTTATATTTATGTTCGCTGTAGACCAAAAGCTGATGTATCCTATTTAGTTCCATTTCCTCCTTGATTTCTTGTACTTCCCTAGTAGTGTGTTCTAAATGAAAGTTCAAAGGCCATTGGTTATACAACATCTTGTTTCAGACCATTCTGATTCATAAGTGCACACTATTTCATCTTTGTTGGATCCAATTATTTACTTTCATTTTGTTGTTTCCCTCAAAGTAATAGTACAAGTCTCACAACTATACAAAGCATTTTGTCTTTTCTCTTTTTGTAGGGATGTAACTAAATTAATGTAGAGACTTATAATTTTAGATCTGCAGTTCCAGCTTGTGTTTTCCAAAAGTGGATTTATTCAGAGTAGTCCATCACCTTCATCCCCTGAAGATGAGAGTAAACCAAAGGTAATAGTAAGTGAAATATGAAATCATTTTTGTCTATTTTTTGTTACATCTAGTGTCAATATAAATAATACAAATGCAGCATTCTATTTTTCTTGTCTTGTCTGCAGATAATATTAAGTCCAAAGCAACTGAATATGACTTCACTGCAAGTTGAGATCTTGGAAAAGGAAATTTCAGAATTAAAGGCAGCTCTTCAAGAAGCCAAGACCAAGAATGTGTATCTCACTGGAATTGTTGAAGAGCAGAAAAAGTATAGTTATTCTTAGTTTTAGCTGAGTGATGAATATGCCAAGTGGCATTATCCCTAAGACTACCAGTATGGGGATTTGATTTATTGTTACGTCATATACTTGGCATTTAACTCTTTTATGGCCATGGCACAAGTCTGTGTGTCTAGATGTGATATGTTTCTCACATTATATTGCAATTGGCTGTTGGTTGGATTGAGTAAGTTAGAAAATATATGCATAACAAAACAGTTCTATCACATTTACTTTATCATTGTTTCTAGATTTTCAGTGTGTGAATACTAACTCTCAGTTCTGTCTTATAAACATCATAAAACAAACAAAGCAGATGAACAGAAATCTCCAATATGAAATTTGATCAGAATCAGTCTTAACTCTTCTGGAGTTATGAGATGACACAGCATAAAAATTCTTGTTTTGAAAAGCATAAGACATATGGAAAAGTGTATTGCACTTAAAATGTGTGCTTTATTCTTCTCTCCCACATTTTATTGAAAGTTGTTTGCTTTGATAAATATTTAGTAAGTTACACTTGAGGTATGTGCAGAAATGCATGAAGGTTTTCATGTAAAGTGTCTGTTACTTCCAATAAGAAATGTCATGGGGAAACCATTCAGTGATTCTTGAGGTACTGCATATGGACAGACAGATTGATGTGCTGAAGGTAATATGCACATTTTTGCAGCTTCATTGTGAACACGCCTAAAGATTATCAATGCTTATGTCACATTGGGGAGAAAACTTCAGCAATAGATACCAGTATCTTTGGGCCACTTTTAAAACTATTAGTTCAAGGTCTGTTCCAACAGATGGCACTAATGCTTTAACAAAATTGAAATATTTTCTATTAATCTAATTGTATCATTGTAGCACAGGCACAAGAATATTTAATTTAACTAACAAATTTTCTTGCTGAATCCTTTGAAATGCTCCATTCTGAGATAGTGATACTATTAATATGATTATTAAAGGGTAAATGATACATTTTTTTAATATGCTGTTTAAATTGACATGGGAGGATAAGCTGTTCAGGTTGAAACCCGACCAACAAAAGTTTAAGTTGTATAATAGCACATACTAGAGATGAGGTTGCAATAGGCTACATAGGTGGGTTTTAAGGGGGAGACAATAACTGCCACAGAATTTAGAAAGAAAACCATTTTGAAAGCAGTCACTTAGATGACTAAGAAAATGGAGTAATATTAAGACATATCTTGGGAACTAGGGTTTGAATATGGGAGGTGGTCTGCTATTGTTTAGAATTACACACTTTATATTATACAAACACATAAACATATTACACTGTTTCAGTTTTGGTGTACTGGTCAGTATGAAAAAATTGGGCAGTTGAAGGGGGGGCTGTTACATTTAGATAGTAGAGCACTGACTGTCAAAAAAATAATATGTTGTAAGATTTGAGGTTTCCACAGTGGTGAGTCTGAAGATTGCTGTCTTTTGGGTTATTGTGCCATGTAGTCTGGTAGATATCCACCAACGTTTTGGAGGTCATACAGCCTCCATCATCAGGGCAATGAATGTGCCAATTGAGTGGAAAGGGCTAGGTTTATAGGGACCAGATAATAACCGGAGTAGTGTGATCCTAGCCAATGGGAGCTGGTGTCAAATCAGGCGTATGACCTCTGAAACGGTGGAAATCTACCAGACAACAATGCACAATAATCCAGAAGATAGCAATCTTCAAAGAATATATTATTATTAAGGTGAATATAAACTTCAAACAAATGAATGAATATACTTGTCTTACTATCATAGAAGAAAATGTTCTTGCATCACAGCTCAGTGTGAGAAAAGAGAAACAGAAAATTCTCCTTCATGCAGGTGGCACTGTTGGAAGTAAAATCCTATAAGACAGAGAAATATTTTCTTAATATTGGATGCATTATAATAAAGGGTGGTTTCCATTTACTTCTTAATATGTTGAAAATTGTACACTGTAAACTGTAACACCATTTTTTGCATTACACTGACACCAGAGAAAAGTGATATGATGATGCTGTTAACTGTGGTATAGGGGGCAGCATCATCATATCATAATCTTATTTTCTCTGGTTTCAGTATCTATGTGTTGCTATGTAGGAAGCTCGAGAGGCTTGAATGTAGAAGAAAAGAATTGGAAGCGGTTGGGAATAAGATAACACCAGGAATGAAATTGGATGCTCAGAATCAAGCTGGTACATCCATGACTAATGACAGTACCATCTCCCAAGAAGTACTGGATGAACAGACCTTGGCAGTGAAACTTGAAGAGGCAGAGAAAATTATAAGACGTCTTCGCCGAGAAAATGAAGAGAACAGGAGAGAAGTAAGTGTGATTGAATGCGTAGTTTGCTTTAAGTGTTAATATGTCAGAATGTTTATATGAGCCAAAAAAATATAAGCACTATGTTTCTAGATATTCTGTTCAAAATAAGTCAGAACAAGACACTACATAAACTAAATTTCTCATTGTTACAGAACTGAGAATTGCATCACTAATGACACATATTCATACCATTGGATCCTTTCCTGAATCAGTGTAATGGTGGTCAATTCCTTGTAACAGTATTTTCATAAGATCTTTTTTAATTATCCTCCTGGTTAAGCCTTGCCTCACAGGTGGCCACTTGCTATGGAATGTTTCTTTATAGTTGGCAGTAATTCGAGCTAATCTCAGTAAGAGCCTGGGTGGCAGCGGAGGAGGACGTCAACTTGGAGGTGGGGGAGGAAATAGTCATCGTGGAGGTGGCAGCAGTGGCGGTGGAGGCAGTCATCATAGATCTCACAATCAGCAACAGTCACAGTCACAGAGGTTTCCTCCACTCCATACACAGAGCTACTGGCACCATGGGCAGCAGGCTCAACACAGAGGAGGGTAAGGAGACATACCTACAGCATGGCACAGTAGTGTTCAGAAACCAGATGTCGGTAACTATATTTTTGAGACAGATTTGCAAGTCAGCTGTGCTATTAACATTAATGGTAGTGCTGATATAACAAAATCTATATTTTCTAACTGATTTTTGTTAGAAGAAACATTATCTGCTTGCCTATAATCTCATATTCCATTCAGACAATTCATTCCAGAGGTTACTAGTCTCCTTGTTAAATAAGTGCATTTCATTCCATCTCCTTATATATATCTATATATGTGTGTGTGTGTGTGTGTGTGTGTGTGTGTGTGTGTGTGTGTGTGTGTGAAGGTGAGGGCAGTAAGTTTAAAATTGTCCCTGGATCTTGCACAATGTTTAGATTTTCAGTTTGTAACATGGGTTTGGATTCAGATGGTTTCTAACATTTTTCAAGAAAGGAATCATAGGATTTTGTGCAGGAGCCTAAAAAATATATTGGGAGTTTATAAACTTGTCTAACCTCAACTATATATTGATAGTGTAAATTACATATACCTTTCATTTACTGCCATATTATGTAAGTAATGTCAACTTAATATATTTAAGGATTGAGTTTGTGTCACATCGACACTGTGCTAATGGTGGCAGTAATGGTGTTGGACGTCTAGAGAAAGAAACACAGCTAGTGGGGCGTCCTGCCCCATCCCTTCCAAACCTTCGCAACAATGGTACATCAAGTGGGTATGGATTCTCAAATAGTAACAATGGTAACTCTCATCGTCGTGGTGGTCACTTCAATGGTAATGGTAATCATTATTACCGTGGCAGTAAGGATGAGGTTGGAGATGGTGGAAGGAAGTATCGTGGTGGTGGAGGAAGTAGAGGCAGCCGGGAAAGAAAACAATAGTTACTATTATGATATTACAGCTATTTCATACAGCAGCAGGTCACAAAGAACTTTTAATCTAGAAGTTTTTTTTACATACTTTTGTTTAATGTTTATAGCTTCAGGATACATATATTTCTTACAGAATTTGAAGTGTATTAACTTGCCTCAGTCTACTTATTTAGCCCATTTCATCTATGGTATAACTAGGTACTGAAGATCAAGCTTGTTTGCTTTGTAAAGGGCAGTGTAATGTGCAATACAATGCTTAGGGTAGTATTAATTTAAGTCAGAGATTTCTGAATGTGTGATTTCTCTAAAAATACTGTACTATTTTACTTAGTAGTTTGTTAACTTGTACGCTAGGTATTATAAACTGACCATTTAATTTTGACTGTTAATAAGTTGAAGTATGCAGGATATTTTATTTTACACATACAAATCCAATTCTTATGAATTTTCAATAACTAATTTTCATATGTATATATTAATATGTTGAAAGTACAGTATTATATTCCATTTAGTTTACATTCCAAAATTGGTAGAAACATTTATACTTTGAAGTCAGTTATATAATTTTCGCATCTTAACAATGGATATTTAAAAATTAAGATAGGCCCAGTTTTGTTAATATTTGTTTCTTTGAGACATTAAAGAAATAATTCATTGTAATCATAAACGCTTACTGAAGTTGTAGCATTGTTTATACTTTTCAACTTTCTACATATGGCAAAATGTATGTCAGTGTGCAGTACTGTTTCTTAAAAGTCCAGGTAGACATGATTAACTGTGGTAACTGTAGGTTTGGAGGAATGAGTCATCAGAGTACTTACCGAATTTTTCTATTAAGGCAAAGAACTGTACCAGTATAAGAAATGCAGGCAATGAGAGTTGGATTCCAGTACTTTATATTGTGCATCTATTTGTTATAATAATTGTGATTATAATATGATCTTCAGTGCATGAGAAATGGATATAAGCAGCTTGTATCTTAGATTGATAACAAAATATTTAAATAGTTTCCTAGACTTGTTTAAAATTGTTAAATAGCAACTGTGCCAATACCCATTGCATGACACCTGTCAGATATATTCAAAAATAAAATATGAACACCATGCACTGGGTTCTCTAACACAGCCAGTGGACTTTGGCTCCATCTAGCTTTATAGTATTTGAACTTACTCTGAATGATTCACTTGGAAAAAGCGTAAGTTGCAAGTACTCTCAAACTACATACAGAAATGGGGCTTGGACTGGGGAAATAAACAGTACTTTGTTACATTTTATCTGCTAGACATTTTATGTGGATGTATAGAATAAATATTCATAGCAAGTCAGAATTTGGTTGAAGTACCATAGATATAAACAAATTAATATGATTTTTTCCAGGTCAGAAACAAATAATTTTATTATTTCCAGTTGAATTTGTAAAATTGTGTGTATAGAGATGTTTTAACCTTTTCTAGAGATCAAGGAACTACTCTAATAAATTACATGACAGAACAAACAAAAATGTTTCAGCACTTTCAAATTCAGTTAAGACTTTGATGATTACTTTAATGAACAAAATTTCATAATTATGTAATGTTTTAGTGTCAGAACACAAGACTTTTCATCATAATGTGTATGCATGTGTGTGTATACACACACACCAGAGCTGTTCATAAAGTTAACCCTCTTCCTGCCAAGATTAATGCTATACCTTATGCAGGTATTAAAAACCTATTCTTTTGTTCACTCTTTACTGCAGTTTTGCCTACAGCCAGTGTAACCAAGATGAACAAAATGTTGTGTTGAAAATCAGATTTGTTTCAGAGTTACATTATCTAATTGTTTTAACTAGACATAATTAAGGAAGATCTGGCTGAACTGGCCTCTTCACCTCAGGTAGGTCATTGGTAAGTAGAGGGGTGATATACATACAGTTCTTAATACACAGATATAGGCCATTAACTCATAAACCATTGTGATACAGAATCCAGTTACCAAGTAAGATTTATAATTAATAAAGTTAATTGTATTTGTAACTGATGTAATGCAAATTCATCTTTTCATGAAAGGGTTTTGCCAGTGCCTGCAAAACATGTACTCACAGATTGCTAATAAACTGCAAACTTGCTTGTAAGAATATGCTGTTGAGAATAAGATGACATAGTGAGCGAAAGATGTGTTTATCTGTGTTGGTAAGGTTATTAAGATGTGACCTGTTTCCTGTGAATTTATGTTCAGGAAGGGTAAGTTAATTCATTATAAAGTAAGTAGTTCTTGAATGATGTCTCCAAAATTTAACCTGTTAACAGTACTTGTAATATTTCTGTATAAAAAGAATATTCCATAAGACTTCAAACATTCAGTTGTATGATTACATAATCTTCAAATGTCAACAGTTATGCAGGTTTCAAAATTCCACAGAGTGCTTACAAAGTCCCATTACCACCTATGTAAACATCAGAGAAGTATTTCAATTATATCAGAAGGGCACCATTGTCACAGCATTCAATGTGATATGCAATTTACCAGAGATGACCATTTTAAAATATACTGGCTTGTTCTCCAATTCATTGTGGTAATTGGAATTGTTACTCCAAATGTAAACAATACCTTCTGTTCAACTTTGGAACATTTAACTGAAAAAAAATTACTTTGCCATCTTAGGGAGCAATGATGATTATGTGAAGAAAATATTCATAACAGTTTGGCATTGTCAGACATACTGATAATTGATGCTAAATTAATGGATAAAGGTTGGTCAGTACTCTTTAAGAACAAGGTTTATTTCATGTGATTTTGCAATTGCTTCTATATTTCAAGTTTGATGATCTTTTCTTTAAAGCCTTTTGTGGTGTTCTCAGGGCAGATGCAGTGACAATATTCTTTCCTGTTCAATGACCTTCCACTTGGCTCAAGTTTGATATTTTGAAAAACCTGTATTCCTACCTCAGTATTGTCACTTTAGGCAGAGCACCATTATGAAAACTTGCTGAAATTTATTATGAATTTTGGGCATTTTCTCTGTATATGGTCTTTCATGAACTCAATACCATTCATTGTTCGATCCTTGTTCACTTGTGTAGCATTTTACCTGTAAAACAACATATTTTTAACCCACAAAAGAAATAAACAAATTAGACAAAAAAAGGTTGACAGTGGAAACACGGTTCCGGAGAATCTGACGTAAATACGTCTCAGTAATGTAATGTAATAATTCTTATATAAGATAAGTACTTGTGATATTCTAACACGTTTTTACCAGCACAAAATTATCTAGTCTACGATGCACTTCTTCTACAAGCGATTCACAGCTCAGCTCTTTCCGCAATAACGAAACCGAATTGTTGACGGCAGTAATGTAACACAACAATGCCAAGTAAACTGATGACGCAACAATTAGTTTCTTATGTAACATAACAATACACGCAGGAGTTCATATAAAAGCTGACCATTGTTGTCGGTCCATATTTATACATTGTTGATATGGATCTTACACAACTTCGTTAGACATCTTTGCCGAATGACCCTTCCGTATAGACGTATTTACGTTTATGATCACAGATTGAAATAACAGTACTCTCTAAAGTTGGAATAATCTGTGATCATCTGTAGTAAAGGTCGCCGCCATATTGGTTATTTTACGGGACGGAAGCATCTATAGAAGTAGCCTGTAATTAGGCACATTTTCTGTACTACTGCCGAACCTGAAACGAATTTACCCCTAATTTATATAAATCGTACTCTCCATAAAATAAATGACCGTGGTTTAACTATATGTGCATAAATGCTGTTCTGTAAGTTAGCTGACTTGGCACATGCTAATGAATAAATTATTTTAGAGATTGAAATTTGCAGTCGTTATTGTTATTTATGAGAGTATTGTTTTTAAAACGCCTTGTTTGGCCTCTAGTGCACGTTTCTTGCTTTTTAGGGAAGGCTACGTAAGAATTTGACTTTCCTGTAAGGATGGCGGACTTCTTGGACTCCGAAGCTGAGGAGAGTGAGGTATGTTGCAAGAATTGTTATAGGGGAACTGTAACTGCATGTAAAATTTTGTACTACATATTTTGTTCCCAAAGATATTTACTTTTCATAAGAACCATTGAATTGCCCATTTTGTAAAAAGAATTAATTTGTTTGAGAAAGGAAGCAGTGCTTCTTTACTTTGGTAATAAATGTATGGATTAAATGAAATCCGGATAATAGTGATTGAGGTTCTGGTGTAGGTTCATTTATCAAGAAATACCTGCATTGAGGGCATATGGTTGATGAAGAGTTATTGCTATTACATATTAGTGCCACTTGAATTGAAATTTACAGTTTTGGCTGTGAAGAAGTAAAACTGTTTGGCCTCCATTCAATACTGTTCAAATTCTGTTAAGTTAGGTGTACTCTTTGGCTAGTATTGAAAGTAACATTAAAAGTGAAGGCTTTTGTAAATGTAATATTTAAGCACATTTTACAAGTTTGTCTTCCATGTTTGTTAAATTAAAAACTGTATTGAACGTGAGAGATTGTTAATTGTTACTGTAGGCATTGAATGTAATGTGATATTTATGATCAGTGATTTGGAAGGGGCAGAGAAATATGTTGTGGCCTGCTTTGATAAAGTATTAGTAAGGTAGTCTGGTCTAAAGTTTTAGCTTTACCAGCTAGATTCCTATCTTACTATTTGCCTCAGGTGTGTACCTCTGTCTTCCAATTTTTAGCTGTGGTTGATAGTTTTCAACCAACCATGTCAATATGGGCTGTTCTTTCACTTAACATGCAAGCAAGTAGCATGTTTACACTTATATTCATAATACAATGTATAAGGGACATATATTTTTCTTTCGTAGGATGAGGAAGTTGACTATGGTAAAAAGCCTGCAAAGCGCATCAAGACTGTGGACAGTGAGGAGGAGGAAGAAGGTAACAACAGTAACTTATATTACAATATTTCCATATTTATCTCAAGCATCAGAACATTAAATTCATAATGAAGTTTCATGCAATTAGAAAGAGACTGGAAAAATATGTGTTTAAAGCCCTTGTAAAGCATTTTATAATGTTTTAAGATTTTATCAAGAATTGTTTATTATGCTCCGAAACATATAAAACAGTAAGATTTGAGGTTTTCGCAGCAGTGAGTACAAAGCTGTCTTTTAGGTTGTAGCGCCATGAGATAGCAGTGTGGCAGAGTTGCAAATTTATCATGGGTAGAACATGCTATTGGAATTTACCTCATATTTAATGTAATTTGAGTACTGTCTGTAACATTTTGTTGATTTGATAAATTCATCAGTATATAAGCAGATGATTTGATAATAGTGAAGCCAGTAATTACTTGAGTACTTTACTTCCTAACCAATATTCAGCAGAAGCTTTACAAGTGTAGATTACAGAATAGCTATTTGAACATTCCTGTAACAATTCCTAAGAAACCTAGCATGCATTACTTACATTACCTGTGTAGATTGTCTGTTGTCTTGCTTAGGTACCAGTAAAAACAACTTTTTATTGGCATAGTGAACTGTAGTTTTTATTTCTTATGTAATCAACTCCATGGAAAAATACTTTCTGAGAAGCTGGTAGTAGGTTAGATGGTCAAGTTCCCCACATTTTATGGAGTCAAAACATTATCATGTCCACAGGAATCCACCTCTCGTCCATATCTTGAAACAAATAAATGTAGTCGACATCCTCCAATGTTTTTCCGAAAGATCCACTTTAATATATGTTGATTGACACTGTGTAGTCTGAGCTACTAAAGTAAGTGTCATTAAACTAAAAAAATAATATGCTAAGTTTTCATAGTAGCATCTTCCCTTCAGGCTGTTAAAGCAGAATTTTTGTCAAAATTTCTCGTCACACATTCCATTCTCCTTGAGTTGGTCATCCTAACAATATGTGATGAAAAGTATAATTGATGAAGCTCTTCATTGTGTAATTTTATCCACCTTCTGTCACTTCATCTCTCTTAAGTCCTAACATTCTTTCAGTACCTTATTCCTAAACACTCTTAGTCTGTGTTCTCTTGAAGTGAGGGGCCAAGTTATACACCAGTACAAATGAAGGTAAAATCATATTGTTGTGTATTTTAATTTTCAGATTTTTAGGAATCATCCAGGAAGACAAAAGATGTGGAAGCAAGCATTCCTCAAATCTGATATGCTCTTAATTTCATCATGAACATACTTTTGATTAGTTGATTTCAGTCCTAATTTTTTTAACTTTGCCATATTTTGAAGGACTAGTTATTTTTAAAGTAGTGAAACAAAGGCTGTGTTATATTCAGGTATTAATTCCAGAAGAAATTATAAGAACACTGTAATAATGTATGTTGTAAGCTGCTTATTGAGATATTGTAAGAGCAAAATAATTGTTATTATTATTATTATTAAGATGGAGAAGACTGTTGTTCTCAGCTAACTACCTATATAACTGACAATACGGAATAACTCTCCTTTGTAAAAATAATTTTTATCTTACAATGTTTCAACAAGTAAGCAGCTTATGAAATAGATTATTATAGAATGTTTACAGGTTTACTAAATAAATTCCTAAATGTAAGTCTTTTTCTCCCAACTTTCAATGTATGGTAAGATAGAAGGCTGCTGATGACAAACACTGCGCAAATTTGAAGAACTTGCAGCAGCTCCAGATAGCCATGAAGGTAGTCTGTTGAGCTCTAGTGGGTTCACTGTCAATAAATGTGCCTGAGGCTGATCATTATTAAAATTGGGTTCAGATTGTATTGTGTATTTCTTTGCTTACAGTCAAGTTTTAAGTATTCTGAAATAATGAAAGTATGTTTTACATTGTTCTTGTGTCTGTATGATATTAAATTTGTAGAGAGGGGTTGAACCTTGATTTATTTAATATGTTTTATAGATGATGAAGAAAAGCTCAGAGAAGAATTGAAAGATTTAATTGATGATGCTCCAATTGAGGAAAGTGATGGTGAAGATTCAGATGCTTCAAGGCAAAGTAAAAAAGAAAAGAGTGATGATGAATTTGATGACAGGTTGGAAGATGAGGATTATGATTTGATTGAGGAGAACTTAGGTGTCAAAGTAGAAAGGGTAAGCTTTACACATAAAATGCATTTTTGCTTTTTTATTGTCATGAAATTAATAAGAAAATTTCTCATCACCT